TTCAATGAGAAGAAAGCCTTCCCTTGCCCACCTCTGTTGTCCCTAACGCAGTTCCTTCCACAGTGCAGGACGTCTCTTGGATGCTTGACAAATACTTGTTGAATTGAATTAAACAACAGCAGCCACCATACACACACCAAAAAAAAAAAAAACCCACTGCTGTCAAGTTGATTCCGACCCACAGCAACACCCACTGGGTTTCCAAGGTGGTAAATCTTTACAGAAGTAGATTGCCCAGTCTTGCTTCTGCAGAGTGGCTGGTGGGTTTGAACTACCAACCTTCTGGTTCGCAATCAGATGCCTTAGGCGCTGTGCTACCAGAGCTCCTTTAAGGGCCGCCAGAGTCCAGGAAATAGATTTTCTTCACTTTATCCAGAATTGATTAGAAGGGGGCTGACTCACCAGCAGACTCCCAAGATAAACCTGGGGCTGATGATTGAGGCCAGTCATATTCATGATACAGTTTTCAAACCACTTTTGCAGATAGCAGGTCTCATCTTTTTTTATGATCAACACATACTTACTGAATGCTCACAGTGCGCCTTGCACACGGGACACAGGGATGATGAAATATGGTCCAGTTGAGGCAAACTCTAACCAGTGAAATCAGTTGCTCTTGAGTCAGTTCTAACTCAGGGCACCTCCATGCCTGTTAGAGTAGAACTGTGCCCCACGGGGTTTCCGTGGCTGGTTTTTCATAATTAGATCACCAGGCCTTTCTTCAAAGGCACCTCTGGATGAACTCAAACCTCCGTCCTTTTTGTTAACAACCAAGTGTATTGACGTATACACCACTCAGGGACTCCAGGGCAAACTCTTGGCCAATTGTGTTTCTTTTCTATTATTGCCATAACAAATTACCACAACTTAGAGCCTGAAAACAACACCCACTTATTATCTGTTTGAGAGGGTCAGAAGTCAGTACATCATTGCTCAACTAAGTTCTCTCCTTGGGGTCTCAAAAGGCCAAAATCTGTCATCAGCAGAGTTGCATTCCTTTCCGGGAACTCTGGGGTGAGTCCACTGCTGAGTCCCTTCAGGTTCAGGATAGAATTCAGTTCTCTGTGGTTGTAAGACTGAGGTCCTACTTCCTTACTAGTAGTGACCTCTCTCCTAGAGGTCACCTGCACTCCTTCTCATGCTTCCATGTCACCTCTCCCCGCTTCAAGCCATCAGAAGCACATCGAGTCCCTCTCAGGCTTGGAAGCTCTCTGACCTCTTGTTCTGCCTCTCCCTTTAAAGACTCATGTGATTGCACTGGTGCACCAGATTGCCCACGATAATCTCTTTATTATATAGGCAACTGATTAATGACTTTAATTGCACCCGCAAATTCCCATCTGCCGTGGAAGGCAATGCAGTCACAGGTGTGCTGTGTCTTCACATTCACAGCCCCAGGGATGAGGCCATGGGATACCCTTGGGGACCTTAATCCTGCTCCCCACACAGGGCTTCTCAGACAGTAACGCACCTGGGGCTCACCTGCAGAACATGTAGAAAGGCAGAGTCCGATTCAGTGGGTTTGGGATGAGAGTCTGCATTTCACATTAGCACCCAAGCAGTGCTGACACTACTGGTCTATGGAGCACGTTTTGAATGGTACAGCTTTCAACCAGAGGAGGCAAATTTAGAGCCCACAGCCCAGGTCAAGCCCAAGACAGAACTCTAATACATGAAACCTATGGTTCTCAAAGATGAAAGAGCATCAGAATCACTGGGAAACATGTTAAAATAGACTCTCCGGAACCTCTACTTGGCCAGAGTTTCTGATTCAGAACATCTGAGGTGGGACCCAAGTATTTGCATCTCTAACGAGCCCCCAGGTGATGCTGATGCTGCTGGTCGAGGACCACACTTGGCGGACCACTGCATTGAGCTATGAGATGGGCAGACACTTTGTGGGTGGTCAGTGAGAGGGGCACTTACATCCTAGGACAGCGTCATTGTCCTTCCTAAATGACTGTGTCTCCTTGGACATGTCTCTGACTCGTCTCGGAGTGACACTCTGCCCTCTGGTGATCTAAGGCTCACTCCTGTCTCTGTCGTCTGTCTACTGTCATCAAAGGACTGGATCTTCTCCCCCTCTGCTGAGCTTCATCATTCTGCTTTGGGAGCCCAATTAAGTCAGTTCAAGAATAGCTTGAGCCACTGATTCACTAGTAGTCCCAAATCCATCTTTTAATATTAAAGTTTATTATTTTTATTGCAAACAAAATACTTGCTTATTAGTCAAAATAAAGATTACAAAATAGAAAACATCATAATCCCACCCAGAGATGATGATTTTGTTAGTTGCCATCAAGTCAACCATGACTCGTGGTGACCCATTAATCCAAATACGTGTGGAGGGTTTTATGTCCAAAAAGAAGACATGGCAAAAACTTACATTGAAACTTCCTTTTCTTAGCTAATCAACCCCTTTCGAGCCCCTAGTTTTAACCCCTTCACCCAATAAAAAGCAATAAAATACTGATCTGATTCCTTCCTCCTTTGTGCCTGCAGTTGGAGGGAGATTACTGAACAGCATTGGGTCCAGGGGGGCATGGGGCGGAGCCAGGGAAGACAAGGGTCGTCAGAAGCAGGCACCTTCATCAGGCCAGTTGGCAAGCAGCGAGGGTTTAATGACAGATTGTTTCTCCCCTTTTGGAGGAAGAGACTCAGCTGAGCACTCCTTCATCCGGAAATGCCTCAGCACCCAAGTCAAAGTCACAAGACAGCTGAGTCCGGGAGGATTTGTGTCGTGTTAGTAGAGAGCACAGACGCTGGATCAAAAGGGCCCATGGTGCTATTTTCAGGATAATTAGCTACTTCCAGAACTGTGCAGTTAAAAAAGATTTATTTGGGGGAAAAAAAAACTTATTTTCAATTCTGTGAACCACAAAAATCTGCTTTCAAGTGGGTATTGAATGATTAGGGCAGGAGTTGTCGCAGCAGATGGTGTTGACCCTAACTCATGGCGACCCCATGCCTGTGAAAGTGGAACTGTCCCCCATAAGGTTTCCAAGGGCTGGATTGCAGAAGTAGGTTGCCAGGCCTTTCTTCCAGGAGCCTCTGGGTGGACTTGGACCACTAACCTTTCTGTTAGCAGATGAGCAGCTGAATGGTTTGTACCCAAGGACTCCAGGGCAAGAAAAGAGGCTTTGATTACACGTTTCTTAAGCATTCACCAATGAAACTGCTAGAGATAGTGGATGAGAGCAAGCAAAGCCAGGGCCTGATGGAACAAATCAAATGTATGATGTCCAAAGGAGTTTCCCTTAGAATCTGCAATAAGCTTTGTGGGCTCCTCTTACCATCCTTACCCTGACCCCGGCCGGGGGGGGGGGGGGCCTGTATTTCTATAGTGACAGCTTTGATGAGGCTAACACAGCCCCTAGCAACCTGAGCTGCTCTTTCTTTTCCACAGAACGAAGTGATCAGCCAGCAGCTCTGTGTCATCTTCACACACTGCTACGGACCCTACCCCATCCCCAAACTCACAGAGATCAAGCGGAAACAGACATCGCGCTTGGGTGAGTGGTGTGCCGTGCCTCCTTGGGCTTTGTGGCCTTGTGATGTGAAGACAGACAGGAAGCTTCCAAGGAGTGGCTGGTAGGTTTGAACTGCCAGCCTTCTGGTTAGCAGTCAGATGCCTTAGGCACTATGCCACCAGAGTTTTCATGCTTAATTAAGACCCCTAAATTAAGCACTGTCTCCTCCATCACAGACAGTGGTGGACAACCAGCACCTCCCCAAGCCCAGGCACTTCCTGCAAACAGGTACATTCCCAGAGGGCACCAGGCTGAGCTTGCCTGGCAGCTCCTTCCACAATTCACCCCTCTGGAGCCACTCTTCTCCTGGGGACAAATGGGCAGTGACAGGCCACAGGTTCCTCTAGTGGACATCTTTCCATAGGGAATTAGGTGGAGAGGGGAACACATACCTACAAACACAGACATGAACATGCAGGACACATACCTGAGCTGAAGCAGCTGGCCACTTCAAAATCCCATGAGAGCAGCAGTTGTCACTCTTTCTTCTTAGCAATTTGCATGGATCTCGACCCTGCCAAGCACTTGACCTGCCCTATCTCAGGCACCCCTCCCACCACCCCAGGAGGCAGGCACTGTGATGATCCCATGTTAACACCAGGGAAGGGAGGCTTTGAGTAGCCTGCACCATCAGTAAGGGGAGGAGCTGGCACTTGAACCCAGGTCGGCCCGACCCACAGTTCCATCGCTCTGCAGTCCCAGCTTCTGCGATTTTCCCCAAGAAACCATTCCATCCGGCACTGGTTTCCTTCAGCGCATTCAGGGGCTGCTGCAGCCTGCTTGATCAGCCTGGAAAAAGGGCAAAGAAGTCCCCACCTGCCTCGCAGTCTGAAACATGATCCTTCTGATGCTAAGACTTGTCTTCCTGCTGCCTGGGGAGTTATAAAATATTAAGGATCAAGGATATCTTCCTAGAGAGGTTGAGCAACTGACCTCAGGATGTGAGAAATGGGAACATCAACTGAGATTATAACCATTAGCAAAACCACACTCATTTGAGAAGCATGAGCCAGTTGACATCAGGGAAAAGGCTGAATGCGTGAAACTACTGTAAAGTATTTTTATTCCTATCATGAATAACTTGTGAATTTAAATGAGACATAAAACTTTTTTGTTAAAGGAAGAGAATGCAACAACAGAGCCCAAGGTGTGTCTGTCTCTATGTCCATGCATGTGGGAAAACTGGGATGCCCAAAAAGGCACAGGTGCTTCTGCCTTGAAGAAAGCAGGTGTCAGCTACAGTGGTATCATCTGAGCCACAGGTTACGAAGACCAATCAAGGTGGCAGACGTTAGAGAGTGATGGTTACATTGCAGGATGTAGTGACAATCTCTGAGCCTAGGTACCTTACAAGATGGCCCTTGTGAGGATGAACATTTGCAAGGGTTTGTCAATGACAATGACAGTGTCCTTTGAAATGGGCCAGGGTCCCTGATGATGCCAGTGATTTGCTCTCAGCTACTAACAGAAATGTTGGGGGTTTGAATCTGCCCAGGGCAGTGCAGAAGAAAGGGCTGGCAATCTGCTTTTATAAAGATGACAGCCAGGAACACGCTTTGGAGCAGTTATACTCTGTTACACATGGGGCACCATGCTTTGGAATCAACTCCACAGCAGTGAGTTTGGGTGTGTGTTGTTTTTTTTTTGTTGTTTTTTTTTTCTTTTTTCTTTTCCAACTTTAATGATGCAGCATGAATTCTCCTTTCCTGTAGAGCTGTAGAGGAGAAGGTACGTTTCCTCCTCCTAACCCTACAGAGGTTGAGTTCACCAGCGTTAAAAGGGCCTGGTTTTCAGCCCAAGTGTTAGAATTCTAAGGATTAGCACCAAGAGACAAAAGGCAGGCCTAAGAGGCTCTAAGCTCAGAATATGAAGGAAAAAGGGTAGTGCCCAATGATTAACAAACAGGATATGAGTCATGATGCCATGTTTTGCCTCTTCGACTTCAAGCTAGTTTCACAAAGGGCTGCCAAACAGTGGTTCTTTGGAGTTGTGCTTAAAAGGAGAGATCAGAATCACTATGATAAGGTTCTCAAACTGGGTCTCTGTAGGGTCAGGCAGGTCATGTAAATGAGTGAAACAGGTCTAGTGTAAGAGACAACAGGGAACGGTGGGGACTGTGGCAAACTGGAGAGGCGTGCCTGGTTTTCCAGGTTAGTGTCCTCTGGCCCTCCAATGAATCCTTGAAGAGAATGGTAAAAAAAAAAAAAAAAAAGCTAAATGGGGGAGGTGCTAGCAATTTGGGACGCAGGTGTGGGGCTGGTTGGAGGGACAGTGGGAGGGAGAGATGATTGGAGAAAGGATGGCTGCTGAGAAGATAGAGAAAGTGACTCGAACCAACACCTGCCACCAAGCAGATGAGGATGTGTCAGTCAGCTCTGAAGCTGCCCCTTCAGCGTCTCCTCCTTTTAGCTGGACAGCTTTAGATGTAATAAAATTTTTAAGATAATGGGATTATAGGTGATTCTGGCTTTTTAAATACTTTTTTGATACTTTTTAAATAAAAACTTTTTTTTTTTAAGGGAAGAGGTGAGATAGCTATATTGGGACAAAGAAAAATGGACAGAGGCTTGCCAGGACCACCGTCTCTGGGGCAGGACGGAGTCTGGGTTGGCCATCCCCCCTGCAAACATGTGTTGTTGTTCAGTGCTGTCAAGTCAGTTCCAACTCATGTCAACCCTGTGTACATCTCATATCAACCCTGTGTACAGCAGGAGGAAACCCTACCTGGTCCTGCACCACCCTCACAACCATTGGCTGTGCTTGAGCCCATTGTTGCAGCCACTGTGTCAGTCCATCTTGGTGAAGGTCTTCCTCTTTTTCACTGACTCTCTGCTTTTCCCAGCATGATGTCCTTCTCCAGGGACTCAAAAAAACTCAAAACTCAACTGCCATCCAGTCAATTCCGACTCATACTGACCCCCATTGGGTTTCTGAGACTGTAAATCTTTACGGAAATAGAGTGCCCCGTGTTCCTTCCATGGAGTGGCTGGTGGGTTTGAACCACCAACTTCTTGGTTAGCAGTCAAATGCCTTTGGCACTCCACCACCAGAGCTCCAGGGGCTGGTCCCTCCTAATAACATGACCAAAGTACAAGAGATGAAGCCTCAGCATCTTCCCTCCTAAGGAGCCCTGCAGCTGACTTCTTCAAGCATGAGTGAAGAAAATCAGGAAGGCAAATTCTGTGTCAGGCCAGGGATCCAAGCTGTACGCCCAAAAGCTGGAGGGGCCTGGCCAACGCAGGGGGTTGGTCCCTGCACATGACATTTTAGGGCAGACTAAACCCATCCACAGAGGCCGTGGTGGTTCAGTGGTGGGATTCCCACCTTCCATGCCAGGAGACCTGGGTTCGGTTGCTGGCCAGTGCACCACATGTGCACCCAGCCACCCATCTGTCAGTGGAGGCTTGCGTGTTGCTGTGACGCTGAACAGGTTTCAGACGAGCATCCAGACTCAGACAGACTAGGAAGAAAGGTCTGGCAATCCACTTCTAAAAAATCAGCCAATGAAAGCCCCATGGATCACAACAGTCTGATCTCCAGCCCATCCAGCTGGGGTTTCACCTTAGGACAGGCCATTAGCCCCAGGGAAGGGCCTGTCACAAGCAGGCTCCAGGGCCAGGAAGGAGCCTGATTCCTAGGCAACATCTAGAACCGATGGAACAAGCATCAAGGCATTCTTTCATTCACACAAAATTGAGCATCTGTTCTGGTCATGTTTGATGAGGGGATAATATGTGCCATCCATTTCACTAAGTGCTTTATAAATTCGTTTAATCCTCACCAGTACTGTATGGAGGAGCCCTGCTGGCACAGTAGTTAAGCATTCACCTGCTAACTGAAAGCCAGTTTGGACCCACCTGCCATTCCATGGGAGAAAAATGTGGCGGTCTGCTTCTGTTAAGATTTATAGAAACCTGTTGTTATGTGCCGTCAAGTCGGACCCAACTCATAGCGACCCCTTCTTGGGTTTCCATGGAGGCATCACTATGGAAGTAGATTGTCCAGCCTTCCTTCTGAGGAGTGGCTGGTGGGTTTGAACCATCAGCCTTCTGATTAGCAGTCAAGTGCCTTAGGCACTATGCTACCAGAGCTCCCATATACTGCTCTTATAGAAACCTAGCCTTGGAAAACCTGTGAGGCAGTTCTACTCTGTGCTATAGGGTCACTATGAATCATAACTGACCCAATGGCAGTTGGTTTTTTATGATGTAGGTGTATTATGGGTATTATCATTTCCATTTCACAGAAGGGGAAACTGAGGCACGTGGAGGTTAAATATCTGGCCCAAGGTCACACATCTAGTATTAGAGCTAAGATTTCTGGCTTCAGCAACCACACTCCTACTTCCTATTCTCTGACCACTGTTGGTGCTAGACACATAGGAAAGGATGTGAAGAGTTCAGGCAAGGTCCTGCCTTCGTCATGCGTGCAGACTTAAGGGACAAGCAAACAATATGTGAGCAGATACACTGTAGAGTGATGAGGCTATGACAGGCTGTATGGGCGTGTGGGACACAGGGGACCAGGTAAGGCATGGTGTTGGAAAGGCATCTGCACTGAAGCTTGAAGACCTCATAGGGGTGAGCCAGGCTTGGAAGGGAATGGAAGAGTGTCCTAGTGGAAGTAACAGCATGTGCAGAGGCTCAGCAGCATCCATAGGGAGCTGCGAGTGGCCGTGTATGACTTAGCACACCAATGGCAGGGGGATGTGACTGGGCAGAACCTTGAGGAGGCAGCAGGAGCCTTGGTAAGAAGTTTGGACTCTGTCCTGAGGGCTCTGTGGAGCTATTGAAGGGTTTACAGCAGAGTATGGATGTGAGTAGCACATCTGGATTTAGAAGACATATCTCTCTTCTGAGGTAGACCATTAGATGAGAGGCAGAGAGACCAGCAGGAGGCTCCCACGAGTTCCCAGGCAAGAGCTGTGATGGCCTGAAATAGAGAAGACAGAGGGAGGGCAAGCAGTGGGGGGCTCAGAGACACCCAGGAGGAGGAACGGATGGATGTTTGTGATGGCCTGAATGTGGTGACCCCCGGAAGAGGAAGGTGTCCTGTTGACTTTGGTTCCCTGGCTTGAGAAGCTGGCAGATGGTGGTGCTGTTGGCAGAAATGAGAGCCGTTAGGCAGAGAGAAGTTTGCAGAAGGAACTTTTTTATATGAACCAGGGAATGTGGTGGGTGCCAATTTCAAGCACTTAAGACTTTGGTGCAGAGCCCTTATCCACAAAACACCCCAGGTGGTCATCTGAAACTTAGACCCACAAAGATCAACCCTGGGGCACCACAGCTCAAGTCAGCTAAGGGTTCAACCTAATAAGAAGCCCCACCAGAGGTTAGAGCCACCAAGGCCTCTTGCCTGGGTTGGGACTGACTCAGGCACTGAACAGGTGAAGTCTGGTAGAGGCAGGGATGGGCAAGGGGTGTTGGCAGATATTCCCCAAAAAAGCAAAAGTGCAAAGCTGAGAAACCCAAGGCTTAGAAGGATGGAGCTAGAAGGACAGGCAGATTGGAAGTCAGATCCAATTTGATGGCAGTGAGTTTGGGTTTTGGTTTTTTTTTAAGGGGGGGCGGGGGGTGGTAGTGTTTCACAAACAGTCCCTGGGTGGTGCAAATAGTTTGGCACTCAAATGCTAACTAAAAGGTTAGTGGTTCAAACTCAGCCCTGGCACTGCAGAAAAAATGCCTGGCAACTGGCTTCTGTAAAGATTATGGCCAAGAAACCCTATGGATCAATCTCAGTCAATATGTGGGTCATCATGAGTCAGAATCAACTTGATGGCGACACGTTTGAGGTTTTTTTGCATTTTCACACTTAACAATGCAGGCTCTCAAATCAGATGTCCAAGTCAAATCTTGGCTCCTCCACCAATCACTAACTTAAACAGGTCACTGTAATGGCCACATGCCTCAGTTTCCTCATCTGCACAGTGGGGACAATGTCATGCTTATCTTCCAGGATTAAATGAGTGCCAGCTTTCACCAAAAAAACTCACTGCCATTGAGTTGATTCCAACTTACAGTGACCCCTATTGGGTTTCTGAGGCGGTTAAATCTTTAAAGAAGCAGATTGCCCAATCTTCCTTCCATGCAGTGGCTGGTGGGTTTGAACCACCAACTTTCTGGTTAGCAGTCAGATGCCTTAGGCACTGTGTCACCAGAGCTCCTTCTTGCTTTCACAGTGCCTTGTATATCTTAAGTGTCAGTAAGTATTAGTTATACCTACTCTGTTGTAACTGCAGATGAGGGCAGGAGACTGGCTCATTGTTGCTAATCCTGGCGTAGAAGGGCTTGGATTGTCTAAGCCCTGGAATGTGGTAGCGAGGGCAGCAGCCCTTCTAAGCCACTTCCTTCAGAAAGGCACCAGGAGCCAAGTAGAAGGGCAGGGCCTAGCCAAGGAGAGGCGAGTTCTTAGAGACAGAATAGGAAGATGCTTGCTTTTCACACCTGAAAGTTGCCGGAGCTCTCAATGTGGGTGAGTCTTCTGGGGGAAATGCTACTTTTAATCTCAGGTAAACTCTGAGGAGTCCCTGTGAAAAACAATCTCAGACGTGAGTGCCCTTTTGGTTGATTCTGTCTCCCGTTTGAGCCCTGTCTTGCCAGCAATTGTCTTATCGCCCTGGTTTCCTCATCAGCTCTTAACTATACTTTCAGAAATGCAAGCTTCACCCTTCTCTCCACTAAAGCTCCCCTGTCTCCCTTTCCTATTCTAGATCCTCATTTTCTGAACAATAAAGAAATGTCAGATGTTACCTTCCTGGTAGAAGGAAGACCATTCTATGCCCACAAAGTGCTGTTATTTACAGCCTCCCCAAGGTACGTATCCTCACTACAGCAGCTGAGTTATAGCTGTGGCTGTTTTTGCTATTGATGTTTTTCGGAATTCAATCTTGGTGGGAACTTCACTGGACTGGGAGAGTATCTTCTCAGAAATCAAGGATCTGAGAGTACAGGGCAGCCCCGACCCTAAAGAGCGGCACCTTAGTGTGCCCTAGAGCAAGGCGTCCCCTCCTCTGGGCAGGTTGAGCTGCGTACCAAGAGCACAGCTTTGTGAGCTGAGTGGGGGTTGGATTCCTACTCCCTCATACAGGTGCCCTTGTGCAGTGAACAACCTGAGATAACACTGTGTACACTACAGCCTTGAAAGGCCTGGACTCCAAATTCAGGGAACAGATTTTGGCATAAGCCACGCTAAATACCCAGGTCCTGAACCTTACTTTGCCCTAACTGTGGTATTAACAGACAACGATGTCTCAGTGGGACTAGCAGGGGGAATTTGCTCACCCTCCCTGGCAGCTCTGCTATGGCCCTTTCTCTGCCTTTTGATTCAAGTTGAGATTTGGTTGACGGATCCACGTTATCGGAGGACCTGAGCAGGGATCAGCAAAGCTGGGCAGAGGACAGAACAGTGGTGGAATGAGAAGGGGGCAGGCAGCCGAGTGGTGTGCAGAGCGTGCCTGAGCTGAGGAAGGATACTGGGTGAAAGACAGAACTTGGCAGAAATTTGCTAAGAGAAGTTGTTTGGCCAGCACACTCTGGCTTCCTCAGACCATCCTGGCATCTCCCGAGTGCCCCCTCCCCCCTGAAAATAAATAAATAAACAAAAGCCCCAAATATCTACTTAGCCATCACAAGTAAAACACACTGTTCTTTGCACAGTTCTCAGTTGTGGCACCAACACCAGATGGATACTCATGTTAGTTTTGATGTTAATTCTTAGTTTTGAGGAACATGCCACAGTTACATAAGATGGTAACATCAGAGGAAGCTGGATGAAGGGTAAACAGGAGCTCTCTGCACAGTCTGTGCAACTCTTCAATAAATCTAAGAGTATTTCAAAATAAAAAGGTTAGTTTTAAAAAATGGGTAAACAGCTCTTTAGAGAACTGTGGTGCCTGTCCCTTTTCCTTTTATTTGAAAGCTCAGGAGCCACCCCACCACCACCACCCCCAGGCATTTGCTTTCTAGAAATGCCTACTGCAGTGGCAGAAATATTTCCAGTTGCTTGATGTCTGTGAAAGTGATCCATGAGTTAGATTATATTATGTCACTGTAATGCATTAAAACCAAGGAATCCCCTCCCCAAAAAAACAGAAAAGAAAATGGAGACACCCCTTACTGATATCTTCCGTTGAATTTCATGAGCAGGGACTCTGCCTACAAGGATAGTTTAGTTTATGGGCAGAAAAGTTTATCTGAAACCCAAGACAGAAGGTCATCTGTAATGAAGATCATTTTGACGGTCAATAAATATTGAATTCTTATGATGTGCCAGCTTCACAGTGGGATAGGATTGAGGAACTGCAGCAGAGACAGAAACCTTGGAAGTCCCTGTTCTTTTTTCTTTTTAATTTTGGTGAAAATATCCACAGCAGAACTTGTACTTATTCATCACTTTCTCCATGTACCGTAACACTGGTTCCATTCTTGAGTTGTGTCACCATTATCTATCTCTACCCATACTGTTTCATCACCCTTGACTTAGATTCAGAACCAAGCTCATTGCTGCCAGTGACCCTATAGAACAGAGTAGAATTGCCCCTTAGAGTTTCCAAGGCTATAAATCTTTACAGAAGCAGACCACCACATCTTTCTCCCAAGGAGCAGTTGGTGGGGTCTAACCGCTGACCTTTTGGTTACCAGCCAAACACTTAATTACTATACCACCAAGGACCCTCGACTTGGACTCCCTGAACTTCTCTTCTGAACTGTAGAGTTACTATTGACAATTTGATTTCATATAGATAATTCTTTAAAAGACTGCAAGGGTCATGGTGCACATTTACTAATTTAGCTAAACAGTTATTTAGTTTGAAAATGGCTTCAGGATTGAAGATTTTCTCAGAGCAATAGATTCAGGCTTTCCTCCAGCCTCAGTAGGCCGAGTAAGTCTAGATTCTGTAAGAATTTGAAATTCTGTTCCACATTTTTTCCCCTTTTGATCAGGATTCAGCTACTGATTTCTTGATCAAAACATTCAGTATGGTAGCCAGGCACCATCCAGTTGGACATCCCTTTCCTGACAAAGCAAAGATTGTATGAGAGGAAAGCGGTTGGAGAGCACCATGAGCACTGACCAAGGCAGGGCAGACCTCATAGCCCCAAGCCCAGGAAAGACTCCATAAAGGGGATGGCCTTTGTAATGAGACAGACAGAGTTTGAAAAGATAGTCATTCTTTTCCAGTCACCAGTTTGAGATATAATTTAACAGTTCAAAACAATGTTTTTACCTTTAGAGTTTTAACTTCAAAATAGATGGTGGTATGAACAATGATACCTGGAGAAACATGCTCCTCAGAACAGTCAACCACGTGAGACCAAAAGGGCAGTGTTTGACCAAAAACAAAGTGCAGAAGACAGGAAGGATGGGCTGATGGAACAGGAAACCCAGAGAGAAAATGGGAAGAGTGGATCAAGGGGATTGCAACTAATGCCATAAAACAAAATGTGTATCAGTTGTTGAATCAGAAACTAATTTGCTTTGCAAACTGTGACCCAAACTACAATAAAATGTTCCAAAATTTTTTTTAAATAGTTGAACCAAAGAAAAGAATTATCAGAATACTTGAAAAATATGTAATTGTCTATACCAACTCGTCAACAGTCACTGCTAATTCTAGTTCTCGAATTCTAGATCTCTGAGGTTCAGTCTCTGATTTTTCTTTATCTGCACCTGAGGTTAAATGCCAAGGCTGAGTAGAGAATGAAAGAAGCCCAAAGAGCCTGTGGGGCCAGAGCTGGAACTTCTTTTGAATTGAATTGTATTACATGCCTACTGTTACATAATATAAGCTTTTAGTTAAAAGTAATAAATCCGTCTGAGAGCACATAAAACAAAACAAAACAAAAAAAAATAGATTGCAGTATAATGCCAGAAGGACTTAAAGATTCCGTGAATATATCATCATTGTATTTCAGAGTGGCAGAAACAATATTACATTTCTACCATCAGTTAAGTCTTCTGCAAGCCGTGTGTGTGTGTGTGTGTGTGTGTGTGTGTATGTGTTTGTCTTTTAGCTCCGTTTATGTTCTTACCCAGGTTCAAAGCGCTCCTCTCCAGCAAGCCGACAAACGACAGCACCTGCATAGAGATTGGCTATGTGAAGTACCCCATCTTTCAGGTGAGCTCTGGGGTGGTCTGGCCCACCTCGCGGCCACCTCCAGCCCTCAACCTGTGGATCAGTGCTTGGGGACATCCTTGCAACCAGCTTTCCGTTTTCCTGCATTCTTGGCTCCCTCGTCCCACTGCCCCTTACACTGACCATGTGTCTGACACTGTGCTGAGGGCTGGGGACACGAGGATACAGGACAGCCCCCTGCTGGCGACTCACAGTACAGAGGGGGTGCCTCTGAGTAATGAGTCACTTACCATATAATATGGGGTGCATGGGAAAGAGGTGAGCCTGCATGCTGTGTCAGCTCAGACCGGGTAAACTAGGGGAGGCCTCCTGGATGTTATGCGGTGTCATGAGTTGAAATATCGAAGGCTAAGGAGAGGTTGGTCGGCCAGAGGAGGAGGGAGGGCTTCAGAAAGGGAGTGAGGATATTCTAGGCCAAGAGAGCAGTATGTACAAAGCCTCAGAGCTATGGCTAAGCCTGCTGTGACAGGAACCCAGGTACCTTTAGAGAATCCAAGGTATTTTTATATTGTTGTGAAAAATAAATAGATAACACAGTGTCTGCCAATTCAGCATTTTTCACGTATACAATTCAGGGCCATCAATCACGTTGTGCGACCCTCACCAGTGTAGCCAAATTTTCCATCACTGGGAACAGAGACTCACTGCTTCCTAAGCAGTGACTCCCACCCCCACCCCACCCCCGGTAACATTAAACTCTCATCTCTACACATCTCCCTATTCTGGGAACTCTGTATTGGTGAGCTCATAAAATACTTGTCCTTCTGCAATTGACTTTCTTCACTCATCATAACGTTTTCAAGGTGCACCCGTGTTGTAGCATGTGTCAGGACTTCATTTCCCTTTATGGCAGAGTAATATTCCAGGTAGGTCCGTACCACATTTTGTCTGTCCATCTCTGTTGACGGCCATCTGGGTGGTGTTCCCTTTTGGCTGTTTGAATAGTGCTGCAGTGAACACTGGTGCACATGTGTCTGTTGGGTCATGCTTCCAAGATTCCTGGGTATACCCTGAGAGCGGAATTGCTAGATCATAGGGTAGCACTATGTTTAACTCTTTGGGGAGCCACCAGACTGTTTTCCACAGAAGCTGCAACATTTGCATTCTGAACCTCACTTAAGTAGGAAAGGAAGGTGTTTTTGTCAAAGGCCAAGTGACAGCACATGTGCAAAAAGGACATGGAGGCAGCATCTTGTGACCTCCCCCAACCTCAAAAGGGGGAAACAGAGTCACCCTCAACGGCCCAAGGCTTATTCCTATGAGGCCAGACATGCCACCACCCTCCAGTCTTTTACCAATTCTGACACCAGCTGTACCACAGTACTCACTATTCTCTACTGGGTTCAATAATCCATGGCAATGGCCACACAGAACTCACAGGCAATATTTATGATTATGGAGTTTATTAGGGAAGTAACAGGTTATTACTCAGATTCAGGAACACTCACAGGATACAGTTCTTCAGTCAGGACAGTCTCCCCTCTGTTATGCCATCAGGGATGTCTCTCTGGTCCTTGGCCTGTCAGCCTACCCTCTGCCCTGCTCAGGCAAGTGTGTTACAAAGCTCTTTCAGCTGTGCTGGTGGGTACGCCTACGTGCACCCCACTCTGCCAGCAAGGCCACTGCTCTGTCTTGTCTTGGTTCCACTGCTGCTATCTCTCAGCCATGTGTCTCTGCCAAGGAGACCCAGCGTAGGGATCTCAAGTCCAAGGACACTCTCCACTTCATCTCTAGCTCTTTTCTCTTGATGGCAGATCCCCTGTTCTGCCACTAGGAGGGCTCATTTGAAGCCCAGCAGCATAGCAAAACTAACCAATCTTTACATTAGAGTTCTACACACCTTTTTTGCATGGTCCCACCCAGTTATCTGGTGGGAGTTATAAAGACTGTGGTGTAATTCACTGCACCACAACGTGTTTCCTCCCATTGGGGGAAGTTGATAGTAGTGACTGTGGGTCATTTCTGAGGGGTATGGCAGCTTTCTTCCCTTCCCCTTCTTCCTCCCATCACACCTGGTCAGTAACTCCTGCCCTGCAAGGACATCCTTACAGTTAATAGAAATTCACTCCCCAGCCTGCTTCACAGTTGCATTTCTAGTCCCTTGGGGGCCCTTGAAGGCTAGTGGGCCCCTCGCCTCCATGTAGGGGCAGCCTGAAGGGTCCACCCAATCAGCCAGCCAGGGTTAGTAAGATGACAAGGGGACCTGAGGATGGAGTTTATAGAATTCCTAGCAGTGACTATTTCTTCCAGTTCCATTCAGGAAATACAGCCCTGGGAAGAAAATATAAATGGGTAAGACTTGGGGGTCAAGGCTGAGGAGACATGCCTACAAACAGGTTGACGAGACAATTCAGAAACAAGCAGGAGGCCAGGGTAGCTGTGACCAGGGTCACGGGCAGGGGTCCTGATCTTGGCTTTGAAAGACAGAGCTGCATTCCAGGAGCCCCCTGTTTAAAACCAAATGTCCCTTGTGTGAACTTGGGCAAATTGCCCAACCTTTCTGAGCCTGTTTCCTCATCTGAGAGGGAGGGTATTCCAGGTGGAAAGACAGCATATACAAGAGCACAAAACTGCCTGGCGGGAGTGGCTATCAGTCCGTTTGGCTGAATCCTAAGGTGTATGGGAGACTAAAATGATGCTTTGGGACTACGTTGTGAAATAAAATGGTTTGCCAGGCCCGACCCCCAGAAAAACCAAACTCACTGCGTCAAGTCGAATCCAACTCATAGCAACCCCTCCTTGGGTTTCCGAGGTGGTATCACTACAGGAGTAGATTGCCCAACCTTTCTTCCAAGGAGTGGCTGATGGGTTTGAACTGCCAGTCTTCTGGTTAGCAGTCAGACGCCTTAGGTACTATGTCACCAGAGCTCCTACCCCCAGAGCCTCTGATTCTGTCATTAGCCTCAGGTTGGAAGCCAGCCAGCCAAGTGGTGGTGTTCCCTCCTCCACTGACAGCTGCTCTCCCAGATCCTGATGTTCAGAGGGCTTCCAACAAGTCACCACTGCCTTATACTAGCTCCTGAAAACCCTTTGAGGTGTTTGAATTTTCACCATTAGAGATGCACTCCTTTGGTTATGATTGAAACTTCAAAATAAAATATCTTCCCCCAAATAATCATAGGCAAGATGCTCTGCACCTCTGAGCCTAGGTTTCCTCATTTTAAAAATACTGATCATTATCACCTCTATGCCGTGGGCTCTCACAGAGATTAGCAGTTTGAAAGCATCCAAATTTGTTTCTGACGGCATCATGCCAGTTCTGTAAGCAGACTGTTGTTTTTCTAAGCTGCACCTGGTAAACCACCTTGTTGCTAAGCAAAAGACCCTGTAGAATAGGTTACTCTGGACTGTGTTGGGGCCAGAAGGAAAGGGTTCTCTTCCAAAGGGTGAGAAAGGTAGTGGATGTGGAGCCAAGGACACCAGCTCATGGTGGGGAGACAGGAGGCTGGAGCCCATTGGTGGGGCTGGGGAGACAGCACACCCATAGACATCCAAGTGCCTATTTCCCAACCCCTCACCACCATTTGCTCCTGAGAGCACAGTGGCCACCATCCTTTCCTGAATGGTGTCAGCTGGGTTTGAAAGTGGACATGAGATTTGCTTTGTTGTAAAGGAAGGGTGATGAACAAACCTGTATGAAGCTCCAGCTGTGTCTGAGGCACTGGCCTTTGATTTCATATAGTTTTTTGTATTATTTATTTTATTTTTATAGACGAAGGAACTGAGGCCCAGAGAACTTACATGGCATACTCAAAGTCTTAGTGCTAGCTAGTGACAGAGCTGGGACTGGAACCCAGTCTACCTGATGCCAGAGCCTAGGTTACTTTTCGGCCAGAATGCCCTTTCTAAATGGGAACAATGAAAATAAGAAGAGCTCCTATCTCTGGAGCTCTAAACCAGTGGTTGTCAGTTTCACATACACATTAGAATTACTGGGTAGAAAACTAAAAAATCTCACTTCCCAGTCCAGAAATCAGACCAGTTCAGTTAGCGTCTCTAGGCATGAGCGCCAAAATCAAAAACCAAACTCACTGGCCATTGAGTTGATTCCGACTCAAAGCTACCCCTATTGGGTTTCCAAGGCTGTAAATCTTCATGGAAACAGAGTGCCTCCTCTTTCTTCAGTGGAGTGACTGGTGGTCTTGAACCACTGACGCCTTGGTTAGTAGCCAAATGCCCCAACCACTACACCACCAGAGCTCCTTAGGCGTGGGGCCCAGGCATCTGGATTTTGAAGTCTCCTTGTCCTCCTATTATCCTGAGGAGCAGCCAAGGTGGAGAAGCATTGTTCTGAGTGAAATGTGTCACTTTAGCAGTGCTTGTACCTTACCACCCAGGAGCTTGTAAAATAAAACACAGATTGCCAGGCCCTACCTGCAGAGTTTCTGATTCATAGGCCCAGGGTGGGGCCCTGGAGTCAGCGTTTCTAACAAGGACCCGCTGTTGGCCTGAGAACCCCATTGAGAATCACTATTCTACATCTTCTCATTTAATCCATCCAACTGCCCCATGAGGTTGATTTTATCACCATTTTACAGGTGAGGACATGGGCTCAGAGAGGCTGAGTCCTGGGCCAAGTTCCCACAGCTGACCACAGGAGAACTGAGGTTCCAACCCAGTCTAGCTGACTTCCAGACCTGTACTCCTAGCTGCCTCCCAAGTGTAGGGACTTGGCTTCCCCCCACCACCACCAAGAAAAAAAATGACCCAGCCCTGAGGAGAGACTCACACAGCTAGTGACATTGTGCTAATTAGAGTTTGAGGCTCGAGCTATATGCTGGGAAATGCACCCTCCCCCAGTACTGGTCCAGGGGACACCTAAAACATTAAGCCAGGGACTAATTGGGGAGGTGTGTATAATGAGAACCTGGCTGGTAGTAGGCTCTCGGTAAACATATGCTGAGCGGATTCATAGAGTGAGTGAGAGGGGAAAGCAAGGCCCCAGAGGCGCCCAAGGCCTATAATTGCTTGTGACTGGGGAG